TTAATGAACTCATCTGCTGATTTGTGAGATATTGGTCCGGGTCACCGGTCGCGCATCTTTGTTCAATATTGTCAGAAGCGTGGCTGTCGTCCTTCGTCCAGCAGTTGCGGTGTTTTATGCGGGCACAGGTACCAGAGATAAGACGAGCAGGCGAGGCGATGACAGGGACCGGGCCCCTGCAATGCCCCGCAAAAAGGCTCGTTAAAATTCGCTGCCGCCTTCCACATCCATACAGCATCCACTGGTACCACTGTAAGATGCTTGGGTAGGCTTTAACGGCCCTTTTAAAAAAAAAGCAATGCATCATGGGAGTTGTGTGAGTTGATATAATGATACTTTTCCCCACAGTGAACGAGAGGGCAGCGAGCTCTCCCAATTTAATGTCCTGAAAATATCGCGCTCCCTTCCGCATACATTAAAATCATAAAGCTGTCCGTCTTTCGCGTCCCTGCCTTATGTTTTCTTCGTGTCCACGTCTTAAAAAGCTCAAAGTCGAGGGAAAAAGCAAGGGGAAGATCGCTCGCTTCCTCTCGCCCACGCAGACCCGGCGACAAGTGCAAGCATGTACAACCCATGTCCAGGACACGCCCAAAACCCGTATCTCTTTGCATCCACCCCACAAAAGGCAGAAAAATGAAGGCACCGGGCATGCGTTTGGGACCGTTCGGACTGTGCATGGTCGCAGTAATCGTCTCTTTTTGGGTAAGAGACACAGGTAAATAGACGAGGACGAGCCTGGTGGCGGGGAATTTTAAGGCAAGGCCGAACAACTATTTTTGTATAGACACAGCCTGCCAAAAATCCTTCTTAGCGTCTTTCGTAGTATCAAAAATCAGGTTTAGTGTCTTATTGCATTCACGTCTTTGGCCCCGCCTGACACGACCTGGTCGCCGTTCACTTTCCCACAGGCGCCTTCCTACTTCGTCCAATCCCAACCCATCCCTTACCACCCTTCCACACGACGCCTGCATGTGATCGTCTATCGACACATCGCAGTGCGTCCTTACCGTGCCCCTCCAGGGCGCATTGTCCCGCCGCGGCTTTTCCTCGTTTTGGGCCCCGCCCTCGAACCCGCCTCTTCGCATTCCCCTCCCTCGTGATTCAGCCCACTGCCTTCAAGACTTCCGTCAACGCCGTCCTCCGCCTCGTTGCCTCCTGCGGTCTGGGCCTAGGGGCCGCCTCCCACGGTCTCCTTGACCAGGCTTCCCTCTCCACGCTTTCGCGCCTTATTTTCGCTTTTTTCCAACCCGCCCTCCTCTTCACCAACGTGGCGACAACCTTGGCCACCCCTTCCTCGTACGGTTCCTCCCTCCTCGTGCTCCCCGCCTTCGCGGTCCTGCAAATCCTCTTCGGTTTCCTCTACGGGAAGGGTATGGCCGCCTCCCTCCGCCTTGACCCGGCCTCGGACGCGGGGAAAGAACTCGCCGTCTGCTCCGCCTTTGCCAACTCCGGGCCCTTGCCCCTCCTTTTCGCCGACGCCTTCTTCCGCCTCCACCCGACCGATCCTACTCTCTACCCACGCGCTGTTGCCTACATATCTTTCTACCTGGTGGCTTGGTCGCCGCTCTTTTGGACGCTGGGCAGCACCATCCTCGGCTCCAGCACCTCCCAA